TTATTATCTTCTATTCCGAGCCCGTGACAGAACACAAACTTTATCAACAGCGTATTCTCATATACGGATCTACTCCTGAGCAATTTATTTCATTGGCAGATGAGCTCGCAACAAACCGATACATCAATCCAGTAACAGCCGAAGGTTTCTACATCCCAGCAGACATGATGATGGTTGGTATAGTCTACCAGAAATGCCAATCAAAAAACGTTTTTCGAATGGACATTCCGTCTTGAAACGTCTCGTCAGCAAGTCATAGAAATAACGACGGTGACCCATGACGCCGTTGTGGGCCTTGTTTTTCTTGTTAAACACCGAAGCAACAGTGTCTATTGACCGAATACTGTTCTGTACGTTTCTCTTATATACGATCCCATAGGAGTTCTCAAACTAACATAGCCACTATAGACCAAAGAGTTGCAAGATCAGCTAGCCAGAATGAGGCTCAACCAGAAATAATCCCTGATCCTCAATCACCCTTTAACGAGAAACATAAAAGCCCCGGATCTGAATAACCGCGCGTGGTCCCTTTTCAGTGGAGCGTTTACACCACCTTTCCCGAACATACATCTCTTCAACTGACTTACTTTTGACGAGGAAGCGGATGACATAAGATATCTTTTGCAGATAACTAATGATCAAGGCCTATAAGCAATGCAGGGTGTCAAACCTTGTGGGGCTCTTGGAGTCAGACGAAGGTTGGCTCGAATCAAGTCCGCGACCACAGTCTCCCATACCCATGGAGCATCAGGGTTTAGAAATGAGTCGCGAGGTGAATAAACCCATGACTTTTTGCAAGCGTATCTCGAAGACCAAGATCAAGTGAATGGATAAAAGAGCCAGACGAATCATGGTATCATCAAGCCCGGTCGGAAACAAACAAGGTGGCCGGTGTCATCGTCAAACAACTACCACCCTTTTATGTCGACATACGGAATCAACTGTTTGAGCAAACTGCTACAATTACAGACTTCTCCCCCAAGTCTGGGGTCCAATTGATGGACAAATCAGTCCTGTTCTCGTATTCCTGATATTACCGTCTCAATAAATCAGGACACCAGTCATCACGGAAGACTTATTTGAAACATTCCGCACGTCGCGCAGTTGTGAACATCGCAATGCCGCACATAACTGAACCCAGTGATTAAACTCATAATGAATGGGCCAGCTAGATTGGACATTCACGGATGAATCGAGTCTGGTTTGTCCGAAGCCTAGTTAAATCCATTGATACTTATCAATCAAGTCCGACAAAGACAGAGACACCATTTTTACGCCCGAAGCAAAGAGATATATATGCCAGTAAACCGAGGATTACTCGACACTTTACCAATAACAACGTTCGAATGGTCCAGGAGCCGGAATACTCCTGACCCACGCCCTTACAAACACACCTATCTTCCAATCTCACGCTAGAATTGGTTCCAAGCAACCCGGCTTCGATAACCCCGGGGTTCGCAATTCTGCAGGCCCGTCTACTCGTCACGTTTGTCACGATAGCCAGTACAAGAACAAATGCGCTGATCGCTCGCACCATCCAGAATCCCAACGCCAATTGGTACCGGGGCGTCACGGAAGTGAGCGTCGAGATAGCAGATCTGCTTCAGCCATAGATACTTGTCGAATCAAGCGGTCAATGGCAGGGCCATTCTGACAAGCAGAATGCACCAGAAATTCTATTAAGTCGCGTCACAACCAGGCGTACGACACAACAAGAGAGTTACTGACGTGGTCTGCATAGTATATCACCAGAATAATGGGATATATTGCCGTCAGACTCCCGCAGGTTTATCTGAAAGAAGTTTGTGATATGCCAAATATCATGCTGTGCTTCGTATCGGTCCAAATAACTACATGAATACGACACTTCCCCCCGAGTCCAATTTCATTTCAATCGAAAAAGACATTTGAGCAGCTAAATAGATCTTAACAACCAGGGCTTCTAATTCTCCTCCCTGCCGTTTGACAGGGTACTTTAAAATCGGCAAGTCAGACCCTAAGTTATGTGAGAGAACATAGTCATAGACCAAGATTTATGGTCGATTGTCAAGTTTTATTCTTGACGCTGTCATTTTCATGATAGTTAAACCAGTATGCGTCAAAACTCCTTACCGGGGGGGGGGGGGGGGGTTATTCTGGTAAACCGAAGGTACCAGATGCTTGACCGGTCATGCGTGATCTTCCCGATCACATAACTTCCCCCAAAGCTAACCCCCTTTCGCAAAGTCGGCGCATCAGAGCCTAGCCAGAAACAACGTCACCAAGCACTCACGGATGGCTAAAATCCCTAAACCATCCAACCACAACAGCAACTAGCGTCGTGGGTTTCAACTTTCGCAACACAAGAACACCCTAGATCAACTAAATCTAGTAATCGAAGTCAGATTCAACGAGTTAGATGGGCTGGTTTGGACGCACGCAGACAGGACAAGTCTGGTCTGTTCTTTTTTTTTTTTTTTTTTTTTTTTTTTTGGTTACTTGTTACTGCACTCATCATGGCACACATGAGACAAGAGATGATTTATGCTGCTTAATCGGAGACTTTCGACGAAATAAGATCCAGAATACGCGATCTCCTCATCACATAACTCCCCCAAAACCAACACTCGTCTTTGAAGTCGGAGTTTCCGAGCCCAGCCACGAACAGCCGATCACCAGTGCTCACTGGTGGCTCAAATCTCTGAATCTTCCCTTTCAGACCACAATCCAGCTACCAGCACCGTCAGTTGAAACTTCCCCAATCCATCAGAAAAAAACACCATCAGACTTCATTATCAAGCGATGACAGTATTACAACAGAACATACCACAATCAAATGCGCGCCACATACCACACGTCACACGCCACACCTCAAACTCGACTCCTGACTCACTGCTATATGTCATACCGTCTTATCACCAACACGATGGAACGCGTTATGTGCCGGCTATCTGTCCATGCGGCAGCATGATAAAGATACAAGTGGACTCAGCTCATACAGACCAGGATCTTAATCGCCTTAACACATAGCCCTTTATATCTGATATCTACAAGAGATCATGACTGTCACGGAGCATGGACGCTCGCGAGCTGCACAGCATGTTTGATTACTTTGGCCTGTTTGGTGTAGAACATTCACTGAGCATCGCTTAAACCACTCGCGCACGCTAGATAGCTCGTCGACGGCAGGCCTGCCTCTTTCCTTTCTTTCCTCATGTTAGAATTTCGTCAGATAGTCTACCAATATATATTCATATTGCTCGAGACCGTCACAATGACGGACATTGCACCTTGTCCCGGCCGGTGGTCCAAACAATACCGTACCTCCCCGTACCTCCTTGAGTCCGAATTCATCCCTACCATAAAAGCCGTGGACGGTATAATGGTCTTGGTCTTGGTCTTGGTCTACGTATCCCCCGTTGACACAGGGGCGAAAAAATTAGATCAACGGCATGGCCAGGCCCGTTCACGATGCAGTGGCCCTGTTTATCTCTCGTCGTTGAATCCCGGCTGTTATAGTACTCTGAGATTCTGGGATGTGGGCTCTATATGAATAATGGTCAGTTTTCACGTATACTGCGTGGATATAGCGGTTCTAATACAGCGCTGGGAAGAAAATCGGTCCTTCTATCCGATACAAGACATGTACAAGTCCCAATGGACGATGTCAAATCCATGCAATGCAAAATACATCACATCTAACAAATAAAATTATACCAAAACTCCTACCCTATCAAGTCAAATCAAATCACGCTAGATAAACTATCCCAGGCCGGTTAGGCTCGTCAACTCCGAGGTGTACTATTATCCAGATTCTGCGCCAAAACACCATTTCCCGTCTTCCGTCTTTCGTGAAAGAATCCCCAGAGTGTAGACCAACTTGCCCGGCCACGAAATGACAAAATACAGTGACGCCATATTCCATATTCCAAAAGGTAGATGAGAATCTCAAACCGTGTATGAACGACTCCCAATCGCCTTAGCTACATGTTGAACACATCCAGAACTCAAAAACAAACAAAAAAAAAAAAAAAAAAAAAAAAAAAAAAGGATAACTCAAAAAAGTAACAGAAAGAAAAAGATGCTCAAGGGGTATAATCCAATGCCAATATCAAGTCAAGTCAAAGCTCATCATAACCAAATATCACCCTCCTCCCCCTCAACCCACCTCTTCCAAACCTGCTCATACGCATTCTCCAAATCACGCACCCAGCGCGCCGTATCGAATAGTCTGCTTCCCCGTCTTTCTGAGAAGATCATTTCGCGGAGGTCGAAAAGGCGACCTCTTGCGCGGCCGTTTCCGCCGGGCGCGTATTGTGTGCTTGTGCATAGGCGGAAGGCTTTTGCTTCGTAGTCCTCTTCGGATGAGGCGATTAGTTCGGTTTGGGCTTGGCGGCCTAGGTCGGTGTTGGGGAGGGCGCTGCTGAGGATGCTGCTCGCCATGCGGGAGCACATTTTGTATTTATAGCGGGGGTATGTGAGGAGGGGGGTTCCGCTCCATAAGACGTCTGTTGCTGTTGTGTGGGCGTTACATTCGGGAGTGTCAAGAAACAGGTCCAAGATTTTCGCGCGCGAGATGTGGGTGTTCTTGGGTGCCACATCTGTAAAAATGATTCGAGATGCAGTGTCTGGACCTGCCCAAGCAACAGCTATGTCCCGGAGATTCTGCTCTCCGGTCTCGGGGAAGCGGAGCAACCAGAGCACGGCATTAGGAATCCGTGCAAGTATACGAAGCCAAGTACGGAAAGTCGTTGGTTCAATCTGGGGTTTGTTAGCTGTGTCCAATCAAAGCAAATTGGGCGCACTCACTTTGTATAACTGGTTGAAATTACCAAGGATAATAACGTCATCCCTAAGGTTAGGGAAGAGCTCTTTTCGCATCCGCCATCGCAACTCTTGCTCCTGATCCCAGGTGAGACGGGCCTCATGCGCATCCGGCGCACTTTGTCGGTGATCGCAACAGAAGAACGTATCACGGGTGTAGACAATCTTCTCCCCATACACCCATCCTTCCATGTCTTCGCCATGGTCCTCCTCAAGGAGCCGCTCCTCCATCAACGTCTTGCGTCTACCTGGACTCAATGTCTCGGGAGGGATTGACAGCTCATCGGCAAGGATGTAGTCACACCATTCGGCACCAAGGGTGCCCGCAAAACCCATAAAGGACATATGGATCGGTGCAGGTCTAGCAGCAAAGACCTCGTTTCGGGCACCCCGTGTGTAACCGTTTAGGTTGATTAGGATGTGAATTCCATCCTCAACGATCTGGTTGACAAGTCGATCAACCGACCAGGCACTGGCGTCGTGGAAGGCAGGTGCCTCTTTTTCAATTTGCTGACGATGAATGGACCGGTCGCTTGGAGTGGTGGCGTAACAGTATGCCTTCACCTTGGACGGATTATGCAGACCAAATACGGACTGCATCAAATGGGCAAGGGGATGGTTGTTGAAATCAGACGACACATATCCAACCTTGAGGTAGGGATTCGGCGGCGCTGGAGGCGGATAAACCGTGCCGGGAAGCCACGGTGCACGAAGGGTCGATGACGAGATACGAAGACCGTTCCGCTGTGAGATCTGTCGCACCTGCTTCGCAGAAAGAGGACAAGTAAACGTGTGGAACGGTAAGACGGTTGGCGCATTCGGTGCTGTAAGCCCAGCCGGGAGCTGAGGTCTTCTGTACTTCGTCCATGGATATTCCTTGCCACGGACGTAACGATCCTGGTACCACTGCCAAGTAAGCGAACGAATCGCACGCTCAACGAGCCGCACAATCCGGGATCCCTCCCATCTCTGGCCCGCCCATGACTGCAGAATCGAGACCAGAGAGCTTTTCTGACCGGAGGAGAGACGGTGGCTGTCCACAGCTGGAGCCAGCTGTGCACACAATTGGTCCACCATACCCGGGGTCAGCAAGCCACGACCCCAGGTTTCACCCTCGCGGAGTTGCCGATCCACGATATCAACCACGCGCTTAATCCAGCCAGCACCTGTATCGAGGCTGTACGCGTCACGCAGCATGCCTTGTTCATCGACATGCCACCGATCCCGGAAACCATGTCCATTGGCGACTCCACCACGGCCAGCCCAGTTGCAGACCGAGTTCAGAGCGTTGGCCAATCCGCACACTGCTTCCGCAAACTCCGGATTCACCTTCACAGCCCGCCTGTAGTACACAATCGCATCGTTAACCCGACCAGCATCCTTGACTGCATTCGCCAAGTTCGCCAGGGCAATGTCGAAATTATTGTCACACGCAACAGCCTGTTCGTACATTCGAATAGCCGCATGGAGTTGGCCGATATCTTTGAGCAGGCTACCAAGATTGGTATACAGATGCGCGTGCCGAGAATCAAGACGCAGTCCGTAGTTGTAGTACGCCAGAGCAAGTGAAATCCCGCTTCCAGGGATCACACCAGGTATGTCAAGGTGTTGGCTCTCGCCGCTGGAACGAGCAGGGCTCTTCCCTGGGCTGTTTTGAATACCAGCAAGCAGGATTCCAACATTGTTAGCAGTAGACGGGCTTTGCTGAAGCGAAAGTGACAGGTAGTAGAGCGCCAAGATGTCGCGAACGCCAGGAGCAGACCTTGGGGCACCCGAAGTGGAGATACTGGACATGCCATCCTGGTAGATCTTTGCCAGGGAAAGCAGAGAGTTGCTGGTTGTCGAAATCGCAGCTTTGCGTGCAAGACCCTCCGCGACAAACTTGATCCCTGGCGGTGTACCGCACGGAGAGAAGACCAACTTCGAGGTCTGAAGAGCTTTGTCCGGGTACAATAAGATCGTTTCCCCGCTGTCATGCTGGCCTGACGAATAGGAACCATATGAAAAAGCAGCAAAAATTTGCTTGATAAGACCTCGAATGCCATGGAGTCTCCGCCCAGCCGTAATCAAGATTGCATCCTCGAAAGCCGCAGCGGCTCGTGCGTTATCACCCAGTGCATAAAGCATATTCCCCTTGGCGTGTACAAGGGCCAGCATTCTGCCGTTGTCGGCTCCGGGTATCGCGTAGCCGCTGGAGGCGAAACCCAGCGGCCGGTTATCCGGGGCGCATTGATCGAACGAAGTTGGATGTCCAGTTGGATGTCCAAGGTCGTTGTCGTAATCGAATGATGCCTTCTCATACATACACATATCAGACGCGCTTTCTGCATCACTCTCGGGCTCACTCGCATGCTCGTCGGTCGTGAAACAGTCCCCGTTTTTCGGATGCCGCAGGGACGTTTGTACGTATTCGATGATGTTGACTGCTTCTTTGCCGCGGTGTGTGTTGCACAAGAGGCCCACAAGATGTTCCACGGCTTCAAAAAAGCTTGGGCGCAGCTTGACAGCACGTAGCCAGTGGTGTAACGCTTCTTCGCGGCGATCAAGGGCCAGGAGAGTCGCTGCCAGATTCGATATAGCCTCAACATGCCTAGATCCACAGAATTAGTATATTATGTCAGATACCGTACTACGCAAACTACTCACGTTGTATCTCTGGCCATGATCCTGGAGTACCATCTCATGGCCTTGTGATAGTCACCAAGACCATAAGCCAGGCAACCTCCCAAGAGCATCCCGTCGATCCATTCCCACCCACTTTCTGTGCAAAGGTGGGACAGCATCTCAAGTGCTGATACAGCATTGGCGCTCGGGTTCTCGTTGAAGGGGCCCGAGGGGAATCGAGAAACAGATGTTGTGAATCGACCCGTATGGCGCAGTCTGTCGATCATCTGCATGTCAGATGCGCCGTATGGCTGTTGGAAATGGTGACGACTTGGTTGGGAGAAATCCAGTCCAGGCTGACGTGGCGGTTTAGGGTAGATGCTGGGTTTCAGCAAGCGCTGATTCTGGGCATCCCCGGTGTTGTTGGAGATGCTATTCCGACGGGCCTGGTGAATCGAAGCCAGAAGGTCAACGTAAACACCGTGGGCCCACGATAGGACTTTCTCCTTGAACTCCCCATTCGTCGTCCGTGGATTGTGCCCAGGCACTGGATGCTGTAGGCTTGGCCACGGGGCGAATGGCTCGTTGCTTGGCGGATGCGAGGGGTAAGGTGCGGTATTTTGTCGCGAGTGATTTGGCAGGACCTGTTGGTTGAGAGCAGAGTCAAGGGGTTTCTGGTCTGAATAGCGCGGCGGAAAATTGCTTTTGACCGTGGAATCAAGATTCAGCATCCCTAAAGGCGCTGGGTTCCAGGCGATGGCTGCATCGGGGTGGTTTGCAGGGGGTATCGAGTTCTGCGCGTTCAAGGACGGATCATAGAATTGCATGTTCGGGTTCGCAAACGAGGCTGGCGAGTTGAATCGTGAATCTCGTAGTGCGGCTGGACGATATGGGATGTACACCCCATCGGGCCAGTAGGGGCCATAGGGTCCGCTGCCGGCAGATGCTGTTGGACCGACGCATGGTTGAAGCGTAGCGGGTAGTACTGTAGGAACGTATGCGCCATCGTGTAGATAAAACCGCTGTTGCTGCATGGGTAAAGTTTGATTGAGAATCGAGTCCATTCCAGGATCATAATTCATCGAACGTACCCAGCCGGTCCCATTTGCATCCTGGGTCAAATCCCCCGCAACTGCAACACCTCTGATCGCATCACTCTTGTTATATACGGGCGGAAAGTTCGAAGGCTTAGGTCGCGACGATTGATCCAGGACGGGTTGCTGCCAGTTCTCCATGAGAAAACCCGTCTGCGGAGAAAGGACCTGCCCCGCTTCCAATGACGACACCAAAATGTGCTTGCTTGCTGGAGGCTGGATGGTGGTATCCCCAGGGGTTCCATCATACCCAGCGGAAAGCGTTCCATTTGGCGTTTTCCTCCTTAGCGCGTGTTCACCGACGGCGCCGGGACTCGAGCTGGAAGCAGCGTTATCGCGCAGATCTAGACGTTGGATGGGATGCGGGTATTGTAATCGAGTCCTAGGAATCGATTGGTGAGAATTTTTGGACGGGTCATTTCGAGGGAGCGACGATGGAAAAGCCGAGTTGAAGGCATAGGACGAATTAAGGTTGCTCGGGGCGTGATAATGGCTCATGTGGTGATGTGGCTGAAGCGACGGAAAAGGCGCCACGGAAGGTAACATCTTTACAACCTGAGTGGGGTAAATGCCTGTTCCTGCGTGTCCGCTTTTCACCGTTATAGATAAGGGAAAGGAGTTGAAAAAATAAAAATAAAAAAATAAAAAAATAAAAATAATAAGAAAGGAAAAAAAAAAAAAAATGAAGAGTTAAGGAAACGAGTCGACGTCAACGATTGAGGGGCGGTGGTATAATGGTGGTATTAAGTCGAGAACGAACAGGGGTATTTTCTCCGTTTCGAAATTCGATCCCTGCTGGTAAATCAACAAGAAGCATCCTCCTTGAAACGTTTCCGACACCTCATTATGGACCTGAACCGGTATCACTCGACATTCAACGGGACCCCCCACCACTGGTCCCCGGACGCGACATCAACACGAGCAGTAGTGGACGATTTGAAAGGGTCAATTACCGACCAGACAGGGGTCTGGAGGAGGGATATAAACAAGTCGAGTACAGTCGAGATCGTAGGTAGTTCAGGGATAGAGGGGGTGTTTTTCTAGAAAAGGGCGTGCGACGCGAAAGAGAATGAAAGCCGTCCGAAGTATTCCGTGTGTTCGTTGGAGGTGGGAGCGGGAAGCAAGGGACGAGAAAGGGATCAGGCCTGACAGTCACAGCCCTAGTCAGTTTCTCGAGAGAGCAGGTCACCCTAACGCAGGCGTCCGTCGCGATCAGTCGAATCCCGAATGTCGAGCTTGGCAGATATGCTGTGTCCAGTACAAACGGCGAACCAGCGAGCCGGCGCGAAACAAAGCGAGTAAACAATTCGATTTGGACGAATCAATTCCGGCAAGGCGACAGTCAAGGTGTCCCAGGACAGTTGAACATAACACCAGGATGGCAGGGTCTTTTTTTTTTTTTTTTCTTCCGCGATTCGGTTAGATTCTTTGTAATTCTATTTATTGATAAAATCGGTCTGAATATATGTTGACTCGAGGATTCCCGGAGAGGAAGACAAGGAGATGGAAGAAACAGACTAGGGACGAGATCAGGAAGAATTTGAGATGGAAAGAGGAGAGAGAGAGAGAGAGAGAGTTAAGTTGGGCCAAGTAAGCGTGGATATGCTGGTGTGAGGTGGAGAGAGAGAAGGAGCCGAGACACCAAACCGCAGGCGTACTAGTGAGGAGTAAAAAAGAAGTGGATTGATAATGCCCTATTGCCAGCACACAGGAAGAGATTTTATTTTATTTAAATAAGAAAAAAGAAAAAGAAAAAGAAAAAGAAAAAACAAGTGAACAGAAAGAAAAGTAAATGCAGCAGAGATGCGCGAATGAAAAGGATTGAAAGGGTGTGTTGGGAAGTCTGGGGTATGGACGGGAGTCACGGGACCGAGAGCGAAAGAGATTAGAGTGGATGCATTGACAGGCCCAGCCGGAAACGACTGCGAATCGTCCAGCCATACTACGGGGCCAGTGGGGTCTAGTGTGCTAGGGCCTTGGCTATTTTTATTCTTAATACATACAGTAAATAAGTATTATGTACTCTGTACTGTAAAGAATATATCTGTTACTCTGACTACTTTGTACTTGTATAATATATCAACATTTGCTCTGTATTATACTGATAATAATATGGGAGAATGGGAGAATGGGAGAATGGGAGAATGGGAGAATGGGAGAATAGTAGAAAGATCCAACGGCCAGGATGGCCACCTGAACTCTCAACGTCACTGGTCTGTGGCTGCGGATGGGAGTGGACCAGTGGGGAACGCCCGGTCAGGATCATCAATGGATATTTATGTAGTATTTATGGTGGAAGGAACGCTGAGTCCAGCGGTGAATGCTCTGGGAAATGAGCTGGCATATGGGATGTACTCTGTATGTATGGCATTTTGTACAAGTACTTTGCAAGGTGGTATACATACATACATTACCTATATACCGAGTATGGCATTCCAGATATATGTACACAGTACAGCAATAGAGCCTTGATAGACCACGGTAATCTCGGATCAGACTTTTCTTTGAGTTTTTCCACAGTCAAGAAAAAAAGAAAAAGAAAAAGAAAAAAATGGGTCATTTAATGGGCCTTGGTGTACTAAGTATCTTGTACTACCATAGTCCCACCACGTGACCCACATGAAGATCGAAGGAATCCACTCAGCCGTATTCGTACCTTGTCACCTCCAGGGGGATAACTCTTCAAATATCTGTACTCCGTCCTCTGTACTTCTACACTCATGACACCGGGTATTCAATGCATCCTGTATAACTACCAAACCGTTGCAGAATCCCCCCCTGTATGTGTTATTGATGTGTGTGACTTGGCCCTGTTCGGTCACATGTTAAACGCTCGTATCAGCCCATCTGTATACGAGGAGGAAGACTGCCCTAGCTGAAAAATCAAGGGTCTCAACTGGGGTACAGACACACGTGATGACTATGCTGAAAAGAGTTACATAGTACATTAGTCTTGGGTCTTGGCATATGTTACCCTCACCTTCCTCTCGCAAACCACTTCCAGATTAGGTTGCTCAATCTTGACTACTCATGATAGCCTCAATCAGGTCCTGTCCTTTTTGGGCAGTCTCTCCGACTGACCAGGATTCGTCCTTTTCTCTTACCACTACCAGGAACGATGATGAGGCTGCGCTCGCCAGGTCCAACCCTCGCTTCATCAGAACGGGACATCCTGTCTCATTTACGCGCGAACAATTACGACAAATGGGGCTGGGTCATCTACCGCTGCACCTACAACGACGATGAAGCATGGTCTCGATTCAAAAATGTTGTGAATCACCAAGCACGTGAATTGATTGCGAAATCAGATGCACCAGAGATTGCTGATAGCCTGGAGTGGACTTTTATCGAGGGCCGTGACACATTAGAGAATGCATCCAAGGACCAGCTTCGCACTCGCTTCAATGCGTGGGCAGCCGGGGCAGCTGATGTTGAAAATCCTCAACGGATAAAACACCCATACGGATTTTATGGCATCCCAAGATACAACTATTTTGTTCATGTTGATCATGATGCCCTGCGGAGTGTTGCGTATGATACTCCACAACCTCCCGAGCTCGATTTGGACTGTTCGGTTATGTGAATTTTGTCAAAGCCAACTGGATTCCCATGGGTCAGATACTACTAGCTGCTGGACACTCTCTCGAAGACGATGGCGAGACATATGAACCAATTGAGGGGTGCAGTGAGGAGAATGTTGGTTGGGTGAGGCTGGCGTCGGTAAATTTAACGGCAGGCTTTTATCATTCGATGCTTGGATGAGACGACATATGGTATACCTATTATGAACGACCTCCGAAGCTTGTGACTTGGTAGTATTTGTACTTGACATTTCTTCTAAATCACATGCACATCGATCCTCTTCTAGCTCTCCCATGGATACTTCATGCTTGGAATCTGGCTTTCGAGTTCCAATAGGTCCCTCAACACACTATCGCGGAAAGGATTATCGGAGGCTTCGAATTGTCGCCGAGCGTAATAAATCCGTCCTTGGAGCCAATTTCGTGCAAATTCCGACACCTGTTCGAAGTAGTATTGGTCTAAAGACACTGTCAGCAATCTCCAGCACACCGAAGCAAGGAAGATCCGAGGGAAAACCTACAAAACTCACTCCAATGATCCGATAAACTGTGGCTCCGCATCAGTAACTTCAAAGTTCAAATCGCGGTCATCGAGGTTAAGCAAACTTACCCATCGCTGCCTAGGGTGTGATATTCAATCAACCGCAAGTCGTCATACATGCCGCTGCTGGTGGTGTCCATGCGTTCCATCACAAGCGGGTCCCGCAAATACTGGAACACCGCGACTACCTGCAAACGATTCATGAGTGTAAGTGACTTACTGGTCTTTCGAAAAGAGGAAAAGTCTCACATCACGGAGTGGCGCCATGAATGTCATAATATCCGTTTCCGTTCCTTCTGAGCCCGCCGCCAGCCTAACGTGTCTATTGAATATGCGAACCTCCATTGGGCTATAAAAGATCTCAAGTTTCCCCTTGACAGCGTTGACAGAATCTTGAAGAAGGATGAAATGGCTAGGGTTAGTAGTCGAACCGAGTCTTTCAAAGAGGCGCTGGGCGGGTTGACGAAAATCATCTGATCCTGGTGCCACTCGAGGTAACCCAGAGGGCAGGCCGTGGGCATCGTTCCAAAAATTTTGCCAGAAAGAATCCGGTATCGCTCTTGCACGAGTTTCCCGTCCCTGCGGTATGCTATTTTGCCCCCTGGCGGGCACCGCTCTAGGGAGCCTGCCGTGGTTGGCCGTCGCAGCGAAACGTGACAGAACCACCAACTGTCGGAATTAGCAAGCGCTTTTTTTTTTTTTTTTTTTTTTTTTTTTTTTCATCCAAAAGCATGAACCCTTACCGGTACCGGATGCTCGGTGTTACTCTGGGGAGGAGGTCCGCCTTCTTCATTAATAGCCATGTCACGGAGTCTGGGATTCGCGCAATCGCGAGATCTCATCTCGAACCATCTTCTTGCGAGTCCTTGCAGATTCTGCCGAAGTAGCTGCATGTACCGCGTTGGGCCAGGATAACCCCTTGACCGCATAGTTATGCGTCTTCCGGACTGCAGTATCCATGAAAAATCTCTTGGGTTCCCACGTTTCTCGAACGAGTGCAACTCCAGCCCAGCTTCATTCCGCTTTGATAAAGTGCCCAGTGAGTCGTCACAGAGATTGTCGATGATATTACAGCTAGTGATCTTGCAGGTGAGCCGTGGCGGTGGAGGTTTGATGGCTTTACAGCAGTTGGTCTTCTTTCGCCCCCCTATCATTGGATGTTAGAAGAATTACATGACTCCAAGAGATTGGACTTACATGAACACCCATGACCACCACCAGATGCGTTGTTGTCGATTGCGACTTCATCTTGCTTGCATTTTGCATCTGCACAATCGGGAGCGCTACCGCGCCATGTACAGTCATCCAATGGAGTATCTTTAGGGCAGCAATATTGGGCTGGGTCCGTTAGTATCTTTTCCTGTTCTAGTTTTATTGAAATGTTATGAACTCACTCCAACAGGGCCAAAGGAAGCTGCATCCTTCTTTTTTGCGGGCCAGTTCCTTTTCTGTCTTTTTGCATTGAGCGCCGCTAAGATCGTGTCAGTATCGCATTTGACGGTATTCCGGGAAGATATCGTTCACCTTTTTGTCCAATGGCAGCCGTGCGTTACGGTTTCCCAATTGCCAGCCTTACAGCAAAAGACTTTTGCTCCGCGGCTGCATCTATGTGTACTACTTTCTGCTTTGAAACCACCACCCCTGGAACATACGTTAGCAGAGGAACCTAGCGTAGCGAATCTTGGATAGCAGCTTACCATGAGGACTTGAATAAAGTGGACTCGCCAGCATGGCACTGTCCGTTGCAGTCGCCGCCACTACCGCGCCCTGAAGGGGTTAGCGCTCACCACATATCGAAAAGTGACAAAGGGAATACGAACATGTACACGAATCTGGTGCAGAATGTGTTGGGCAGCAGATTAGTTTTTCTCCTGACTATACTCATCGTCAGCCAACCTATTTGGCAGCCAGCGAAAACGGTTGGACACGTACCTTACAACCCGCCTTATCCCATCCAATCTTCTTATGCCCATCAGGACATCTTACTATGTCGTGATCAACGCAGTCCTTCATTATGAGACAATCCTGGCCATTCTCTCCAATATGGTTCTGTGCAATGGTAACCTTTGAATGCTGAAGTGCCTTCGACGCAAGATCCGGATGGAAGGCCCTCTTCCCGATGAATGCAGACATAGCACTATACTGTGAATTATCCGTATCAGAAGCCCAGAGAAGCGAGCCCCCCATCCCAATACCATTAGCCCAGTCGAGCTTCTGCTTAAATGTCTTCGCATCATCATACGAAACCCACTGGTTATTATCAAAAACCAAATAATTCACCGCTGCATCCTCATCATGAATCGGCTTCAGAGCAGAGACCCGAGATCCATCAGAGTCAATAGTCGGACGAGAGAGCTGGTGTATCATTGCCTGGATCTCATAGTGCATCAAGATACCGCTTGTCGCGGAGCAAGGTCCTGGTTTTGCGCCGCCGCTAAATGGACATCCTGGTTTTGAGCAGGCGGGGTCTGAGAGTTCGAAGGAGCGGCCGTAGAAGCCGAAACCTAGGGCTATTTGCGAGGGTTTTATGCCGACGCGCCAGAGGAGGGATGCGGCTTTTTTTATGTCGGTTAGGTTGGTGTGGCCTTGGACGATGCTGCCGATGGGGTTGTTTGCGTCCCTATACTATCTCAGCACTGACTATGCTTCGGGAGGGCTGGTTACTTACCAGACACCGTGTAGATCGTAACTCATCAAGTTCGTCCAATCCGCATACTTCATCATGCCTGGCATATCGAACCACCGGAGATACCAGTATGACGATGGAATTGTGAAAGATATCCCAAGCTGTCTGGGCGAAGCATCAAACGTCGAGCGAAGCGTCTTCATCAACGCGACAAAGTTCTTGGTGTCTTCTGGCTTTCCACCACGATCAGGCGCACCGGGGTATTCCCAATCGATATCGAGTCTGCATCGTTAGCCCTATCTTTCGAAAGAAAGAGACTTCAACAGAATTAACATACCCATCAAACCCATACCGATTCAAAAACAACACTGCCTTATTAGCAAACCTCTTCCTCTTCGCCTCTGTCGAAGAAATATCACTAAAAATCGGCTGCGTGATGGTATCATTGTCCGAAAAATCCCAGCCCCCAACACTTGCCCAGACTTTCAGGTTCTTATTATACTGTTTCGTATCGACCGTTTTCTGGAACAGACTCTCGGGTATCTCATCTTTCATGGTAACCAGTTCATAAGACTTGGGATCGATATACGCAAAGGCGTAATTGAGATGCGTCATCTCAGTAACTGGGAGGTCGCTGGGGGCGATTTGATGGCATTTCTTGTTGTGCGTCCAGGATTCGTAGTAGCCGATTACTGACCTGTCAGTGAATGTATTGAGTATGGGTACCGGGTCATGAGATGCACCTTTACTCTGCGTCTGTCCCTTCGCAGAACCACCCGGCGGCTTCGGATCCAACACACAATTCGACTGACACTTATGCTTCTTTTCGCAGAATCTCTACCCAAGTCCTCCAGTCAGCACGTCCCCCAACCAAACTCCCCTCATCATCCTTGAAAAATGGGGGAGGGGGGGGGAGCATACCTCCGTCGTCCCACAAAACCCATACTGACTACAACAAGTATTCAACGGACACTTCTTTCCCTTCGGCCTAGCATCCTTCCCACACTCCGCCACCGCATCACAATTCGAGACACATCCGTCGCCGCAGTATGCGCTTCCGTATCCGCAGTTTCCGCTTGCGCCGCAGCATGCGCCGTTGGAGCAGGGGCGGCCGGGGCCGCAGGTGTAGTCTTGTCGGCGGGTTAGATTGTGTGTATATGGGGAGATGTCGGAGGGGGTGAAGGTGTCTCGGGTTGTGAGGATGTTGGGGGTGGGGGATTTGGTGTGGTGGTTTAGGAGGAAGAGGAGGGCGAGGGCTAAGGGGAGTAGGAGGATTGTTGTTCTTGTTAGTTTTTTCAGGGGGATCATGTTGCTATCTGGGAAAGAAGTTGGAATTTGATAGCCGCTGGTCCTGTGAGGACTTGCAGAAGCAATTGAGATGAGGTATTATACTACGAGATATCTATCTAGATATGGTATGGTTATACGACGGTGATATCCGTACACGGTGACTCTGGAAACGGAGAATGTAGGGCAAACACTGAACCTTTGTCCAGGGACGCTTGCAAGATCCTACACGGGATGGGTATCACAGGACATAGTCGTAGCCCTTAACCCTGAATCCGTGTCAAGGGAGTCCGTGCATTGGCACACCAAGGCCCAATGAAGTATAAAAGTCGATCCAACATAGTAAACGGCCTACGTGCCGGCTCACTATTATTCCCCCCGATGTAACCATTCGCGGAAAGGGGGCAGTTACAGATCATCGCACAGGAACGATCTATCATACGGTGTAAATATTCCGGGGGATAAGCTGTACGCCCATGCATGTAACCCTATAGTAGAAGAGCCTCATATCTATGGTCTGTTGAATGGATATACAGCATCTCGTTCACTTCTCTCACTTACAATTCTCTCAATTGACAAATATTCTGGTCAATCATGAAATCGCTAATCTTGTCTCTGTTAGTCCTGGTGCTCTGGACCCAAGCCATCACCGCACAAGTCTTCGAAAATGGCGGGTTCTCCGTGGACTACCCTGGTATCAGCGAAACCTGCAAACACGCTCTTAACACGACAGTGAAATGCCCTTCTTTCCTGGGAGACGTTTCAGAGGGCAATCCTCGCTTGGCTTCAGAGCAGTTATCTGAGCTGTGTACTACTGGTTGCCAGACCTCGCTTACGGACGTAAGGAAGACGATTGCGAGTGGGTGTAATAATACGGATGTTATTACTTATGAGGGGGCGGATTGGCCTGGTATGTTTCTTTCCTCTGAGCTTAATGATGGTATTGACGTTTGTAGCAACACTCATCATTGACCGATTTTTGTATACATACCGTCTATCATGTCGAAAGGACTCGTGAGTCACCCTTGTGCTTAGATAGGACAAAAGTCTAACAAATACAGCGCAACCGGCCACTTCTGCGATGAAATATTTACCTCATGGCTCAACCAAACCCACCTAACAGCGCCCCAGAACTGCTCCGACTGCATGCTAGGAATGATGCAAAACCAACTAAACTCCGCCTTCGGCTACGACGACGAGTTCGCAAGCGAGTTCAATTCGACTACAAAGAGCTGCACGGCGACAGGATACGCGTTTACATCGCCACCGCCCTATGCACTTAATTTCTCTTCCACTGCTCCGTCAGATCCTAATCCTACGCCGCTTTGCGCGAATCCGTATCGTGTGCAGAAGAACGATACTTGTGAATCGATTTCGTTGGCACATAACGTGTCTACGAATGCGCTTGTTAGTGCCGGGGGCTTGGGTCCGGGGTGTGAGAATCTGCAGGCTGTGGGGTCGATTTGTCTACCAGCTAAATGTGAATTGTATCGGGTGGAGTACGATGAGAGTTGTGAGGATATAATCCAGAAGCATCCTGGGTTGAGTGCTATGAGTTTGTTGAATTGGAATCCGAATATCTACATGGTCTGTGGGAATATTCAAACTCTTGCTGCTACATTTATCTGCGTTGGGTAAGTCATAACCATTACTCATACATATCCATAACCAGCCCTAACAAGTGCAGACCCCCCGGCGGCCGCCTCCCCCAAAACACAACCACAACATCCACCCAACCACCAACAACCAGCGACTCCAACAAAATCCCGAAACCAACCAACGCACCCCCCGAATCCAACGCCCGCTGCGCAAAATGGTACGTGATCAAAGAAGGCGACTACTGCGACAAAATCTCCATCCGCAACGGCATCTCCCTAAAGGACTTCTTCTTCCTCAATCCAGAGGTAAACTCTACATGCGGAAATCTCATGTTTGATATTGCATACTGCGTACAGGCTGTCGGTGATATATCGACGTATAAAGGGTATCCGACTACCAAGCCGGTGTACACGCTACCGCCGATTTCGTATTCGACGACTACGGATGTGCTGCCGTCTGCGCCAGCGCCGATTATTACGCCGGTGACTTCGCTCCCGCATGCTCCGGGTACGAAAGCGGATTGCAATGAATATGTGGAGTACTATTCCGTTCCAAGTCTGGAGGAGCGTGCTGCCGCGCAGAAAGCATTCGGTGTTACGGATAGTATTAACAGTTGTGATTTTGTGCTGGCGACCTATGAGGTTGGTATGGCGGATTTCCTGACGTGGAATCCTAGTTTGAGGGGTGTGGAGCCTTGTATGTTGCAGAAGGGGTTTAGTTATTGTGCGGCGAATGTGACGGATGGGGGGAATGGGACTACTACTGGTAGTAGTTCGGGGAGGGGAAGTTCTGTGTTGCCTACGTCGACGCAGTTGGTTTATTATTAATAGGGCTTGTAGTTTTAGGGAATAGGATGGGTATGTCTTCAATTCTGGGAAATGCGTTGTGGTAGCAGTAGTGTAGTTGATAAAAACGTAGTTGGCCGGTAAGAAAGGGGATCACGGAGGAAAGTATACCGGTTCCTCAAGAAGGATCTTTTGCCATGGCATCAGCCATGCTTACCGGAAGCTGGCCCATGGATACATTGCTGCAATGAGCAAGGACTTCACGATTACCCATTTGAGGAACTTGATGAAGGACCATTGGATATGACGAATCAACATCCCCTTCCACCTGAAGTGTAGTAAAAATCCGTAACAGCAGTCGAAAATAAGAACTACGTCGACCTCACTGTCAATAGGAAAATATTGGGTGCACCACTTGGCATGCAGCCAGTCCCTTAACGCCACTGAGATCAGTGACTGTTCCTTGGACTCCCCTTTCTCAAATTCATAGCCGTTCGAACGGAAGGGTCTATAATCGTGCCATCTTCCGAAATGGTGGCCTTGTGCCCGTCACTCTCGAGAAATCTCCAGCCTTCCCCCAGCTGTTCGGTTACGTGTCTGACAAAGGCGGCGCATGGCTTGTCGCTGCCTTAAAAACGTCTTGAGCGTACGACATCCGGTTGATTCCTTGATATCTCGCCGGTGGTGGTGAATCGTTGGTGTCTGTGTTAGCCACTCGTTTCCACCGTCAATGATGGTACACCATATAGTGGGCGACTTTGTTTGGGGCGGCTTGGGAAGATCTATGCTCAGAGTCCACGATACGTCTGGCTCTTTTCCTAATACTCCCGAATTTGTTCGAAGGGAGAGTGTCAACTATTTATCACCTAAAAATGTGAATGAGTCAGTAAGACGTCGGGCTGGTGAAGGAAGTATAGCCCTAGACGGAATGACATGTTTCAGTGACGCATTTCGCGATAAGGGGCAAGATGGCCTAGGTCCTAAGCATTATTTTTTTATCATAAACTTGGGAATATCCTCTTGGATAGACACGGCCAATACAACGTCGATGGTGCTGTCTTCATACTCCAGCCAGCCTGCAGCGTCACATGCGAGCTTGGAGTCAGACTCCGTCGAACCTCTTTCCAAAGTTGGGCTTAATACAAGCAAAGCCATCTTTGTGCAACGTCAACGTTAATTCCAGTTGTACTTGTTCTATCTTGAGGGATGTTAGTGAGAACAGCTCTCTATAACAGCAGACATAGGATGAAACGTACAGGAGAGAGCAGTGCCAGCCTTTTAATTATAGACTATGCAACAGTAGCAAGGCCAACAGCAGCGTCATGGCTTGGTGAACCTTCGAATTTGTCCATGTAGACGCTCGCATTATGAGACATACCCAATCACGCAGGTTTTTTCTGCTTTGAAGCCGAGCTTCGTTATTCTCTGAGTAGCCTCTCATTGGCCGTGTCTTATCTCAGGGAAAGGTGGAATCTATCTTGGCTTGGTCCTCTGACGCGTCCTTCGCCATCATGAGAAAATTCTGACGGGTCAAGGCAAGATTCGGCATCTCTATCTCAAAGGATGGCAGAAGATGGGGTCATGACCTCAATGTCACCGGTAATAACCTAGGATGGGGCTGGAGATGGTGATGGTCCGTGTGTCAGCGTCCGACAGTCGTTTTCCTAGGCACCATTTTCCGAAGATCAGTTTTGCAATTTCTTCATGCAGGGAGATGTTTAGTAGTGTATAAGTGAACTGTTTTTCTGCAAGTTCCGCCCGGTTGCCCGATACGGGTGCCGCCGCTTTTATGAGGGCAGCACGTGATTGCTCCGTGAGTGCTCCGTGAGCGTTACGAGTCACTCACTGATTGCTCACTGAGCACGCACCGGCCGCTCCGGCTGCTCCCGGATACCTGCAGCAGGCTCAGTGAGTGATCTGGGAGCAGCTCCTCCTTTTTCCATATTGTTTCTCACGTGACTACCACTGGGTCTCTAAAGTGGGTACAGACTAAAGCTTCCCACACTACGACAGCAACCACAATCAGCATGGCGCCTGTCACTCGCTATTCAGCCAGAGACCGCACCCCAGGCACGCCCCAACAACGGGACAACATCCTGACCAATGGCATCGCCAAACCGGCGGGAATTCGCAAACGACTGAAGCCAGATAAGCCAGATAAACAGAAGGCAGCCCTAGTAGAGAACCATGGCTTTCGCGGGCGGGCTGGGGCGAGTTCTAAAAGCACAGTGGAGCACAGAACTTCCTCCACAGTAGGTGATGGGGCCACCTGTGTCGCTTTCCTAAGTGTGGCAAAAAGTGTTTGAAGCAAGCAGCATCCGAAACACTGGTTTTTGTGAATTGTTATTGTATTTAGTGGTGTCAGCGAACTTTGATCAATGCTTTCAATCTGATACTATCTGCCCGCCGCGCGTGATCGATAGGGTGACATATGTAATCCAGACAGGTCAGTGCTTAATACAGATAATACGATCTACTATTATTGGAGGCAATAGAGAAGTGGTAAAAATGGGCCGTGGTTACAGGTCGGTCGGGGTCCTTTTTAGGGTGGTGCGGTCTGGTCCAGTTTGGTTTGCGGTCCTTGCGGTCCCATTTCGAGGCCTATGGGCAATATACCTCTTTCGTCAATCTAGATCTCTCCGTATAGACCTCGTTAATCGCGGAATAATCGACTCCCGAGTTAGTTAATTTAGTGGAGAGTCACTCTAAATAATCGGGTCATGGCAAGGAACACAGAACAAGACTTGATTCTAACTCCCAGCGCCCACTGGTAACTATATTTATTTAGCCATCGAGATCTAGAAGTCCTGAATTCAAAACTATTGCCAAGAATAGCCCACCGGTACAGGAATATCTTCCAGTCCTCCTAAGCAAGTGACCGGAAATTTTTATTAGGCTGGAATAGCATTTTCATTCGGGTGTCTCTTGACGATAGACACGAAGAAGGTCGCGTAAATCCTGGACAATGCTTTCTTTAACCCAACATTGTATTAAAACCTGTGGTACTCTGCCATTGGCACCTTCAATATGCCGCTTGTCAAGAACATCGAATTCATCATATTTGCCTTTATCCCACTAAAAATTTATGAATAAGTGCATGGAAATGAATAAAAGAGTGTATCTTACCAGCTTGCCATGAAAATCATTGTTCGAAGATGCCAGCGATGAGAGCTCGTCAGTGTAACTTGGGTCATAGTCTCCTATGTTACAAAGGTCGTCCTGCGGGTCAATGAAGTCATTGTCAGACGTGTGTACAGAGTCAGACTCTGATTCCAAATCAGTATATTGAATATCAATGGTATCTTGGATATCAATTTCTTCGTCACTGTCCTGCAGTGAGGCTTGGAAGTCCCATTGATCGCTCTCCTGCATTTTGTATCTGCTCAATTTATGCTTTTTCAGGCTTATGTGCTTGGGATTTGGGTGGAACTCGCTTCATTAAATGCCAATTTCAAGCTCCATATTATAGAGCCCCTCATATAAACAGTCGAGAGAAATAAATGAGAAAAAGGATTTGCATCAAATTGTGAAGTGCCACCCACCTAAACAAAAGCCACTCAAATTACGGACGACTCAACAAAGCAAACGAGCGATCCCTACCGACACAATGATCTAGACGCCAGGCCTGCCATACTGCTCAACCGGCATGTTCGCCAAGGGTTTTGTGCAAAAAGGGCCTAGTTCCTTCTAAGGACAGCCGAATCACTTCCCCTAAATTTAGGTGAGTATAAGAATATTGTCACGGAGCATAGACGCTCACAAGATGTATGGCATGTTTGATTACTTTGACCTGTTTGGCATAGGACATTCACTACACATCACTTAAACCCCTCGCACACACTAAATAGCTCATCACCGGCAGGCCTGCCTCTATCCTTCCTCTCCTCATGTTAGAATTTCGTCAGATAGTCTACCAATAGATTCATATTGCTCGAGACCGTCACATAATTCTAACATCACTCTTTTATTTTCTTTACAACCTCCTCTCTAGCGCATACAGCTAGGACTCCACCAGAGAGATCCACACGCTTGCGATAGAGAGCCACCCCAAACCGAACGAATCGAATCGAACGAACGAACCGAATCAGTCATGATGGCACGAGACGCCACCGAACGAACCCAGAGCCGACATGTGACCCTGGACATGAAAGAGCAAGGTCGAAAGATTATCACCTATGAAGAATTCCTGGCACAGTGCCGCGACCACCCCGGGGAATTATTTGACTATGTTGCCGATACCTTCAACCAGTTTATTGACCTTGAGAACGAATACCGCGAGCAGATGGATGAAAAAAAGTGTCCAGACTCTTCACACTGAGCTCCAGGAACACAAAACCCGACTGGAGGACAAGGAGAGCCAGATATATGATCTTATGGCTGAGCGTGATGAGTACAAGACTGCCTATGCTGAAGCACAGCTGCGTTCCCGTGGTTCCACTGTGGAAAGCACCAAGCCATCTGGCAAATCTGAAAAGGTGCCTGACCCTCCACTCCTCACGGATGGCAAAGAACCCAAGTTCGAGGACTGGATGATCGAGATGAAAGGGAAGTTTGTGGCCAATGCAGACAGATTTGACAATGACCAAATGAAACGTGTCTATCTCACCTCTCGCACCGGAGGTTTGGCGCGTCAACAGTTGAGCGTTAGACTGCGTGAAGATGCCACTGATCCCTATACCAGTGTGGAACAGATGTTCAAGACACTCACTACTGCTTTTCGAAACCCCCACTGCCGCATGGAAGCCGATGCTGAACTCCAGACTATGTACATGCATCCTGGCGACAAGTTTCTTGAATTCCTGGCCAAGTTCCTGCTACTAGCGAGTGAGGCTGGAATCCCTGATGACCAATACAAGATTGAGCTCAACCGACGACTCACTGACAAGGTCAAGGAGTTGTCCCTTCCCTATATTGGTGATGATAAGACTTTTGATGAATTTACAGCCTATGTGGGTACAGTAGTCCAGTCCTTGAACGTCAACTCCCAAGAGGCCAAACGCCGCAATCTGAGTCGGAACTCCCGCAACAACTCCCAGAAGGCTACCAGTGGTCCAAGCAGCTCTCAACTTGATGACAATACACGACAGGAGCTGATGAATCAAGGGAAGTGCTTTCATTGTAAGGAGTCAGGTCATGTTTTCTGAGACTGTCCCCGATGAAAGAAGAACAGCAATACCACATCGGCAATTTTTTTTTTTTTTTTTTTTTTTTTCTTTACAGCGGCCGCCGCGCTATCGCGGCGCTAGCGGCGATACGGCGCCAATTTAGACCATGTCAATCGTGGCGATACCGCGGCGATACTCCCGCGTATCCTTGTGTGTACACTGCCAGCGCAGCGCTTCCATATGTCCACGCTGCTAACACAGCACGTCCACCCAACATCAGTGATACTACCTCGTTCCAGCACAACATTCACAATCTTTTGTATTATTATAGTATTCATTACTCATATACCCTGACGCACTTCAACAACAATTCATGCGATTGGAAGCAATGTATTCAGGTTATCTGTCACAACCTAGCTTCTCTTCATATCGTAACCTAAGGTTCTAGTTAGTTAAGTCTCAGCTGGGGCACTCACCTGAGTGTCCTTCGTCGTCGTCGTTATATCGATAATGACCCCTCGGGCCTAAGTCGTAGTGCGCCGCGTGGTATATCGCCCCAGTAAGGCTCCGTAAAGAATGCGCTGCTTGGTATATCGCCCCAGCCAGGCTCCGTAAACA